TTAGATCTAATTGCTCACTTTCCTGTTTCCTTATGGACTCGTTCTCCATATTTGCTTGGACAATAACAGAAGATGAAGCAAATTAGCAAGTACAGAACGTGTCCTCTGTGCACAGTGTATTAGCATTAGTAATCCTAGGTTTGCTGAAACACTTTCGAATCAAAATTTTAGACACTGCAGTACAGCTGTGATTTCTCCCTGTCATATTTAATACAGTTTTTCCATGAAAAAGGAAGTTTGCCCCCGTTCTTCCCTTATGCATGTAATTTAGTGTTTTGTATAATACCTGTACTTGCTCTTCTAAGACAAGACTTTATTGCAAGATGTTGATCTTATTCTTCCTCCAGAACAGTGAAATTTAAAGCACAAATAGGCCTGTTGCTATTTGGGCAGATAAATATGTACAATGCAAGATATATAAAATGTGAGTATACACAATGCATATACAGTGTATATTATAAGATTCATATTATTTGTGTGTATGTGTGTATATATATATATAGTGTATTGTATAATGTAATAAGTGTGTGTATATACTATATATGTCCACATACTGTCTAGTATATAGCTACTTCTACTGTACATAAAATGTGTATATACAATGAATATGTAGAATATTCATATATATTCTATATATTAAAGTCTGTGTGTATGTATGTATTCTCTATACAGAAATGGATACAAAAATGGAATCTATACAGAAATGGAAATTAGATCATGGCTCTTATAATTTCAAAGTTCTGGTGAAAGAAAAAAAAAGGAGAAATTACTACTTCTAATAAATTTTTTTCAATAATACTTTCACTGGCATGAAAAACTGTGTTTGCGAGTTGTGCCAAGGGTAAGAGAGAAACCTGGCAGAAAGTAGGTATCATCTGTACTGGGATACGATTTCACAATGTGTTGAGTTTTTAAAGTGTCTTTTTGAAACGTAGGCTCAATTTCTGATGATCTTGCATGCGTTGGTTGTGTGATGTCATCTTTTCTTTTTCTCAGGCTGAGGCAATGATTTTTCTCTTACGTTTGCTTGTAGGTTTTCTCTTTTTTTTTTTTTCTTTTTTCCCCCTTTTTAAAAAATGATTTTTAAAGAGCTATTACGCCACCACCACCCACCCACACACAACAGGCACACACTGAGGTGGAAAACATGTTTTCCTTGCCCCATTCCAGTTACATAGGTTGCATATAATTGTCATCTGGATTTCAGCTCTGTTTTTCCTCCGTTTCCACCTAAGCTTTTGCTTCAAGAGGAATGCTTATCCGTTGCATTCTTGGCTTTGAGGAAAGAACGGAGGTGCTTCTACTTTCTACTTGGATAAATTATTAGACTCTGTGGTACGTTGAGCAATCACAAAGCGTTTAGTAGACTTTTATAGCGGCAGATGTGTATTTTATACAGAGTACAGTCACCACTGGAATGACTCATGGAAAACCATGAGTTGCACACAGTGCCGAGGCACAACAGTTAAAACAGGAAAGACAGACAATTTTTCACGTTGAACCTGTGCATGCAAGCTCTGCATGTAGGACACAGATATTGGATTACTGGCATATTCCGTTATAGACCAGTATGCTCACATTTGCCTCAAGCAGTTTCCTGAAGTTATATTCAAAATACTCTTGTAAAGCATACCAGTCATTCTGGAATAAAAACAGATGCTCATAAAAGTAGTACTTCTATAATACTGCTGTATGAAACATTTTTATGTTGGCAAACTTCCTCATGAAACCTCTGCCCTATGAGGATCATCAGTGCGTGTTGTATTTTGTTGTACGTAATGTGCGCTCAAAGCGTAGGAAATTCCAAGCGGAGTCGGACAGCGTGTAGCCTTTTTTGGTTTTGTTTTGTTTTGTTTTTTAATTCCTGTCTGTGAAGTCTGTTGTCAGAAATTTTGTAGAAATTATGTTGTCATTTTACGTGAAAAGATAACGCACTTTTCTTGGATTCCTCTTCTAATCCCTTTGGGGTTACTGTTTCTTCTTTAGCGTTTCTCCATTGAGAAGGGTATTTATTCGCCAGAACCCACGGCCCGGGGAATTTCGGTCCAAATAGCGTTGTCGCGTTCCCCCGCATCAGGGTTGGATTTCTGCCTTCCGCGTTTTATTTCTTCCTCTCAGGAAACTTCATCTCTGTTTAATCCTAATGCTGAGAATGCGTTTTGCTGAACTGATTCGATCTGTGCTAGTAACGATCTAGTTCAAATAACTTGGCCAGTGTAATAGCGAAGTTGTTTGTTGGGTGCCAGCAGTTGCATCTCGCTGTAGACCTCACAACGAACATAACTTTCTCTTAGAAAGGAATTTTGCTTGGAGAATGGTGGAATCATAGATTTATTTTTAGAGTAAATAACGTTAACTCTTTATTATTCATTGACACATTTGTTTTATCAGTTGGTATACTGCTCTTTTTACTTGAAAGTTTTATAAATAAAGGCTAATTTGTTGTAAAATGAGGTTTTCATTTTTCCAACTTCTGCCTTCCCCTTTGATTGCAACTTTAAAAGGAAAACTCGTAGTGAGCATGGTTCCTTCTCCTGTTACAAGGATACAGTGCTTTTTTTTTTTTTTTTAAAGTATCCCTTTTAATAATGACTTTCTTTAGTCTGACCTAAGAAAGGTGGAAACATACAGTGGAAACTGCCATGTTGACCTAAATTTGACTAATATCTCCAAACATGTACAGTATTGTAGTTATATTTATCTCTCAAATATCATAACAAATTGAAAGAAAAAGGTATTTTAATTTTAACCCGTCTCATGTGTTTATTGTTTAATAAGAGAAATGTTATTGTTTAATATAATAAATGAGAAGTTACTTTTTGGAGCTCGGAGACTCCGGCAATCTTTTTTTTTTTTTTTTTTTTTTCCCCTTTTT